AGGATGACCCTGCCCTGCCTCTCCCGTTCTACCCTGCCCCGCTTAGAGCTCCTCAGCCAGAACCGGGGTATACCAGCTTCCCCGAAAGCTGCTGGATGGCGACCGCAGAGGCTGCCGCCGCTCTCTCTCCCCTCACACAGCCCTCCGCAGCGGGGCGGCGGGCCAGGCCCCGGCAGCATACCCGTTAACGTGGCGGCTGGGCTGCTGGCCGCTCATCCCGCCGTGACCTAGCTCTCTTTTTCTTCTTGGCGCCAAAGTGGGAGCGGGCGGGGAAAGAGGCGGAAGGGAGGAGAGCAGTGGGGCGGGGTGTCCCGTCGCTATGTAGGGGCAAGCGTCCCGGGATTGGGGCGGGAGCAGAAAGAAGCAGCGAGGTGGCCCGTGGACTCTTGTTTTAATGCACTTGCAGTGCCGAGAGCTGATATCGCCGACCTGGGGGAGGCCACTTCCACCCCGGGCTTCTGTGGAAGCCTCCGCGGTAATTTAAATTAGTTACTTTAACGTGTGTTTAACGTGTGTTATCGTAGTTTTCAGTTTTCTGACAGATGCTGCTTCAAATGTTACACTTTGACACAAGCATACGGGTTTTTGCCCAGCTCAAGCTCTTAAGGTAAATGCTATTTATCAAAGCTTGGCATTAGCATATTAAAATGTCTAAAAATCGGTTTTTGTTCTCTGGATATGAAATAGATGTAGAAAGTGAGTTATGGTTAATACTTCCAGCTGCTGCCAGGTTGTAGAAGTCTCCCAGGATGCTCGGGTAGCTGAACATACATATGTAGCCCATTACAGTGCAACATAAGTGCTATAATAATAAATATTAAATGTTGGTATGGTGTGTTTGTCTTTCTTCTGTGAGGAGCTGCCTGCTGTGGCTGACTGGTTGCCAGAGAGGCCTGTCTTTACAGAAGCACTCAAATGAGAGCAAGGTACAGATCTTTACTCCACGAGGCTGCAAGACATCAGGTGAAGACCACCCAAACCCAGCCGTACGTGTCCAATTTGGCTCTCACTGGAGGCAGTGACAGGTGTGACAAACTCAGTGAGAGGAGGAATGGACAAAAGGAAAACATTTGCCTTCGAGACAATCGCTGAGAGGGATTTGTGCACACAATATGCACAGCTCACACTGCACGTGTGCTGATGCACCATTGATCTGAACGCGTTCAACAGACATAGCTGAGATAGTGTTTTCCTGCAGCCTGGTCAAAAATCTTCCTCTTCATCTAGAAAGATGCTTCAGGTTGGGAAAAAGGACATTTTTGGGAAACGAGGCATATAGTAGTCCTGTCCCAGAAGCTGTCTTTGTAGTTCCCCCTTACTGATCGTATGCATAGCAAACCGTACAAGTGAGTACACCAGGTCAGTTAGTACACCAACATGTGTGCAAGAAGACAGCTAAGTCAAGGAACATGCCATGCTCATCATTATTCTTGAAGCTATGCTGAAAGAGATAAAGCCTGCAGTGATCAAACCAGAGAGACGCACTGCTAATATGTTTTCATATTTAGAGTGCTGTATCGACTAGCTATCTTTTTTTTTTGAAACAACTGACATCAAGTATGAAAATGTTACTTAATTTCACAGATATTCATATTCACTTGTAACCAGAAAACTTGGCAAAAGGAGCCTGTTATATTTCAACTGACAAGTTTTCCAGCCCTCAGAGTGGGAAAACATACAGCTATTTCAGTTTGCAAGACTTCTATTATCACAATTTCATATGGACAACAAATGTTCATGTACAGTTTGTTAATGAATGAAAAGGAACGATTTAAATGCAAGAAAAAGAAAATAAATTTAATGAAAGTAGCATCATGCAGGAAAGCATAAGCCTCAAGGTGAAATGAAAGGCCTGATTATGGTTGATCACGAAGAGAGTTAAAGAGCACTCATTTAATTAATCTGGAGGAAAAAATAGCGTAGTTAATTTCAAAAAGTTTTCTACTATCTCTGTATGTGTTTCTGCACTCTTGAAATATGAATGAAAATTAATAGTGCTACAATTACCCATGCCAAATTTGTTATTTTTTGTAATTAAGATTCTGAGGACAAACCTTAACAAGTACTAACCTTTAAAATGCATTGCTTATATGCTGATCATATACAGTGAATGATGGATTTTCTATTCTGTGAGTGCTGATTAGGAGTTCTTACAAACTATTCCCTTCCTCTGCATTTATCACATTTTTCAGCTAATACCTAAAAATCAGGCAGAACCAGATTTAAAATAATACAATCCCCACTCTCAAAAAGAAACCAAACTAAGCTTCTTGCTTCCTTCTCTTTCTCTCCCATAATAGAAAAGAATACACCGCAAAATAAATGCTTATATTATTAAGCAATGAGGTTTTTAATTTTGGGGTGCAGTTTTCAACTTTCTATAAAATTACATAAGAATTATACTATTTTCGAAATGCAAAACTTAAATGTTTTTGTCATGCTTAGCAAGTCAGTTTCTGTAACAGTTTGAAATGACTCTTCTATCTCCATCTGTTAAGTCCACCAAAGTATAGTTTTAGTTTTTCAAAGATTATTGACTCTTCTATCTTGTTCTTCCTCAAAAAACAGACCTACAACATTCAGCATTTCTAATAACACAGCAGTGATATATGGCGTAAGGAGGAAAACGTTTGGCAGAGTTCTAGTTAGTAGATTCCTGTAGTGTTTCTAAATGACACATTTTCTGGAAACCTATTTACATTTTGGGTTTCTTCTAGTTTTTTGGTTTGGTTTGGTTTGGTTTGGTTTGGTTTGGTTTTCTTCTCTTGTGGCCAAGTTGTGACTGCTTTTCTGACAATGTGCTATGGAGGCGGTACCTGACACGAAAGTCTCTTTCTTCATGCACACATCAGAGCAGGTGATGTGGTTAGAGATCACTAGAGGAAATTACACCTGGATCAGGTGAGATTTAGGCCAGGATCCTGTGGTATAAACACAGGGTTGCACTGAGGGCAAGTAGCTTGGCTTGCTACAAGCCTGGTAGGCTCTGTAAGACTTCACTGGCAGCTGCCTGCTCCTCTGGATCTGCTGCCTGAATCCTCCTCTCCATTAACTTTGTCTTACACTGTGATCTAGAAGCTTATTTGCACACTTCATCTGTCTCAGGACCGTTCAGGTCACTGTGACAGGAGTGGAGTGCTCTGACTCAAAGCCCCTGTTAAGACAGACATGCACTCAAATGGGCTGAATTTCTTTTAATTTTGTACCTGACACTCTAGCCCTGTCCGTACACACTCATCTTTTATTCCACAGAGTGAGGATGCCTGTGAAGAGGCATGGAGGTTTTTCTGTTTGTCTCTCATTTCTTAGGTGAAAGACCCGAGCATGGATTATCATGACCTTGCTGTACAGATGTCAATAAACAATCTGAGCTGATTACAAATATTTTAGATGCTCATATTAATGAGAAGTGATAGAAGTTTGAAAGACATGCTAGATATATAACCATCTGTCAAGATGCTTATATTTTTAGCTTACTGCTTATGAAATTTTCACATCTTCTACCTTTTGTCAATTTTGATAAAAGCAAACTAAGTTGAGTTTGGGTAAACCCCAGGTTTCACACACCTTCCCCACTTCCTTGCTGCTTGCCAACAGACTCCTCTAACTTTGCTGGCAAGCAAGATCTCTCCCCAGATGTAGCATATGTGTAAATTGTTGCTAAAAGAGTAATGTTTGCTATGTGCCAGGTTATGGAGTTCACAATTTGGTCGACCACCCTGAAGTCACTCTCAAAAGTTAAGGGAAAAGTAAAAAGAAATGGCTAATGAGCTGCTGTCTTTTTCTCAGGTAGAATGAGTTTTTCAGGAACTAATTACTAGATTTGGAAAGACAAATAAATACATATGACAATATGTCTTTATATCTTAACATCTGGTTCTTATCTTTTTTCAGAGAAGTACTGCTTGCTGACAGGATAATTTTCATAGTCAGAGAAGGAGATTCATTTTTAGGCACATCTCATCTTCCAAATATTTTTCCAAATAGGAATTTCTACATGAGTTAAACTTTTCCTCCTATATTTGCTTGCACACTGAGAACATATTACATACAAATGCAGCTGCTGGCATAAGCTGCAGTTCTCAATTTGTATAGCTAATTTAATCAAGGATATGAATTTATGGCTTCCTCACCGACCAAATCTTTGTTGTAATGAAAGCAATGTCGGGCTTTGTTCTGTGAACCAAGTCCTATTGCTGGAACCCCCTCGCAGGAAGAACTGAAGAGGGTTACCTGCAGCAGCTTGTTAGCAAAGCAGCCCATTCATAGACTGCTTAAATAGATTTTTATATTGTAGCATTTTGTATAGGGAGCATAAGCATTTCAGAATTGCTACAAGAGTTTTAACTTCAGCATGTAGCTCTTTATACTGTATAATTTTGGAACTACTTATTAATAAAGGTGGTAAGAAATGCAACTTATTACCAGCCTTTGATCAAAACTGAATAGGACGGTATCATAGCAATTTTGGTGCAGATGCAGGCCTGTTGCAAATGCAGTATTTTCAAACTCAGGTGCCAAAATTCAGGACATCAAAATCTCTGTTTAGATGCCTACATTTTTACAGGCTTGTGAACAGAAACTCTTGTGCATGATGAGTATCTCTGACCGAATGCAGCCAATCCTAGGGTATTTCTATGATTTTCATGTCCTAATGGAAACCTTTTCTCTTTTCTGTTCTTAGATTTCAATGGCTTGTGTATTACCTTGCCTTCCTATAGCATCTGTTCCTTGAAAACTAGAATCAAGTGCTGGATTTAAGTTTTCTTCCTTCCTGTCCAAGTCTGACACTAGTTTGAGAATCACATTCTCGGTCTCCCAGACTCAAAATTTCTGCAGTTTGCGAACTCCCTAAATACAGAACACCCTAAATCCAGCTTCTCACCTTGGTGAATAGCAGTTAGAGTTTTCTCTGAGAGCTGTCTTTTACTTGCACTTTATTCTGATTGGGGTCACAAATGAGTATGTAAATAATACTCTTTAAAGTCTTCTGTTCCATTTTTAACATTATGACTGGTTTTCGTCTCACCTAAAATTTTTACAAACATATGGTGGTTTTCCTAATTCTGACTGTTTTCTTGTTTTCTTCATACCGATGATTCTAGTTATAGGCAAATATCTTCCCAGTGCCCTGATAACCTTGTCATTTCTGTGATACCAGTATATTCTCCAGTTACATTTTTTCTTTCTGGATGTTATTTGCTGGTGCTTTATCT